GTGTTCTACTGACTGTGTAATAAGGATTAAAGACAACCTGGAACTGGAAAATGTCTGAGACATTTTCAGCAGAACATGGTCAAAGCTCAAAACACTCCAGTTGATACCATTAGGGAAGTGTTTTTCCACTCAAAATATTAGCGCCAAATGTTTGAAACATCAGAAAATATCTTGAAAGTGCCTTATGGATGAGTGCACAGGCATTGTCTTTTATCTTTTATGACTGACTGTGTTAATCAGCCTTTATGCAAATTGTATTAAAACAAATCAACACTGGATGACAGCCTCCCCTTTTCTATCCTGTGTTCCTTTTTCTTTTTGCTCGGCGTCTCTAGGTGATTCTTGTCAGATGATTCTTCTCTGCGTTTTGATAAGATATTTATCTAACAGACCTGCTTCACAGATTTGGTTCACAAATATCTGTTTTCGCGCTGCATTCTCTCTCCATGCTTTTTTGCTTTTGCTGGTTTGGTTCAGGCCTGCGTGGTTCTCTCCGGGTACTCCATCTTCCTCCCACAGTCCAAAGACATGCAGCTTAGTTTGATTGGCGACTCTAAATTGTTTGTTTACATGTCAGCCCTGTGACAGACTGGCAACCTGTCCAGGGTGCACCCCACCTCTCACCCAGTGTCAGCTGGGACTGGCTCTGGCCCGCCACGACCCTATTCAGGAATAAGCAGGGTAGATAATGGATGGATGGTTTTGTTCAGGCTCGGATGAGACACCTCCCTCTGTTAAACAAAACTCACTGTCTTTTATGCGAATAAGCTCATAACCAACTGAAGTGTGGTTTGACAAGAAATAAAGGAGCACTGTCATCTCTGTGCTCAGCTTTGTAATTCACCACGTTATGAGATAATGCTTCAACCACTTGGGTTTGTTTTGTGGTACATGTAGTTTGTGCATTATCTCATAAAAATCACATAAATATAGGGAGTTAATCAGTTACACGTAACAGCTTTATCCATTAAAAAGCTTGTGTGGCAAAAAGGCAGTGAAGTCTGTTGATGATAACCACGTCCTGCATTAGTTACAAATATTACATTGTCCCAGCTACAAAATGTTGAATTTTGTCTTTAAGACCCGCAGATGTATTGTCACAGTAAAAATAGGCTTAATGTTTACTTGCGCTGTAGTACCTGTGAAGAAGCATGTGCAGCCCAATTGGGATAAACCACGTTTTCTCAGAAAATAATCATCACAGTGAATAAAAGTTTCTGACTCTTCTCCAGGTCTGAATCTTTTGGTGCCAGTAAGGAGGAGGTTCCGGACAATGAGCCAGAAAAGGGCACAGAGAAGGAACTGATGGAGCGAATCAGCGAGGACACAGAAATGGTACAATGCACATTTCTCGTTTCCCCCTTACATTGAATTATCCTTAAGAAACAGAACTGCTTTCACAATGTTACCTTGCAGGAAGTCCAGGAAGGCAGCGACCATGAGGAAGGAGAAGAGGAGGAGGACGAGGAGGAAGAGGAAATGGAGATGGAAGAAAGCTCTGATGAGTCTGACTCTGAGTCAGATGAAAAAGGTATCGGAGATACTGTGACTTCTTCCTGTCTCTTTCTCTGAATCTCTTTCCCAGAGCACAAAACTGTTCAACTAACAGAACAAACTTACACAGTCACACAATCACATTTAGCAGGTTGCAGGTTTCCCTCAAGTGGGGGCTGAAGTCATCATCAGATCAGCGCTGTAAGCATATACCTGTGTCCCCTTAGAAAGTGCGTCTCCCCAGCACACTCCTCCACCAGTATCGACTCTAACTTGATCATCTACAAAACTACTCAGTCAGGCCTGCTGTTAGCAAACTGTATCTTACAGCCAACTGTTAGCATCACTGTGCTCTGGCCATCAACCGTTCCTGCTACCTTTTGTAATACCAGTGTCCATCCTGGATCATCACTTGAACAAACCAGACAAACTTGCTCTATAACTTCATGTTAGCTTGCTAATGCTGTCACAAGACAGCAACACAGGTGGGCCTCAAGTCTGCCTCGTGCATCATTTTAACAAGCTCGTCCTCCTGTGCTGCTTTACCACAACTACATTATAACGTGCTGTAGGAGAAGGATTAAGAAAAAGGCACACCTAATTCTTGTGTTTAGTTTATTTACACAAATGTAAAACGGCAGTGATGAGACATGAGAAAATATTGCTTATTTAGAAACCTTTTTCTAAATGCTGTAAAAAAAAAAATCTGTGCATGTAAACTCCTTCTGCATGTTGAGGTTCAATGTGACCGTCTGTGTCTGACAGAGAACTACCAGGCAGATCTGGCCAACATCACGTGTGAGATCGCCATCAAGCAGAAGCTGATTGACGAGCTGGAAAACAGTCAGCGGCGGCTACAAACACTCAAACAGCAGTATGAGCAGAAGCTGATGATGCTGCAGTGCAAGATCAGAGACACCCAGCTGGAGAGGGACCGGGTCCTCCAGAACATGAGTAAGCTGAGAAGGCCAGGAGGGGGAGCATGTATCGCTCAGCGCAGGAGTACTGCACTGGACTAATACACTGTTCATGTTGTATCCACCTGTACTCAGGCAGTTTGGATATAAACATCCACCAAATTTAAATCTTTTTAAATGTCTTAGAAGATCAGTTTTCCATCATTTATGTGTCTCCTGCTTTCAGACTCTGTAGAAAGTGGCACAGAGGACAAAGCTCGTAAAATCAAGGCTGAATACGAGAAGAAGCTGAGTGTCATGAACAAGGAGCTTCAGAAGCTCCAGTCAGCGCAGAAGGAGCACGCCCGCCTGCTGAAGAACCAATCACAGTATGAGAAACAGCTGAAGAAGCTTCAGATGGACGTCGCAGAAATGAAGAAGACAAAGGTGTGGTTGGATAGTTGGCCAGTCAAAGTTTGATTGTAACAACTGCACCAGTAATTTCTCCTCTTGACAGTTATTATTCATGATGATGCCAAGTCTGTTATTTTTCATGAGCTTGGAAGAATTTGCCTCAGTTGAGACTATATGAAAGATCCACATGGATCAGGCTCATTTCCTTACTCCTGTTCATTTAAATGGAATAGAAATTATTTAATGTGTAGAATAGGTCAGACCTGTTTCAGACAGTAGTCCAGAAGCAGCATTTCAGAGGCAAATAAAGGTAAAGAGTAGGGATGAGAGAAAATAAAGCCTCACAAACCTTATGAGAACTGTCACAAGATCACAAACTGCCAGTAGAGTACCCAGACTATTTGCATTTGTATACTAAGTCTGAGACTGTTTAAACTGATTGTTGCAGGTTCGTCTCATGAAGCAGATGAAGGAGCAGCAGGAGAAGAACAGGTTGAATGAGTCTCGCAGAAACAGAGAAATTGCTACCTTGAAAAAAGACCAGCGCAAGCAAGAGGTTGGTTATAGGGACAGATCCATTTTGTTTGGCTTCAGTTAGTGGTCGATCTGTGCCATTAGTTCAAATCCTTCCATTTAAGTAGTTGTGTAGATGCTGATATTGTTCTCATCCTCAGCATCAGCTGAAGTTACTGGAGGCTCAGAAGAGGCAGCAGGAGCTCATTCTGAGGAGAAAGACTGAAGAGGTGGGCACATTTATGTTTTTTTGTACTTGAATCTTAACTGCTGCACAGGTTTTTGACACTTAGCTACAGCTGATTTGATATGCAGATAGTTTTGGGTCGGGGTAGAACACTGTGGTTTATGTGGACTATTACACCTTCTTGGATGAGATAGTTTCATTTAAAAAAGAAGAAAAGTAAAAATTGATTTATATAGCACATATCCAAAGTTATAAGGTGCTTTACAATAAAAGAATTAATAGAACAAAAGCAGATAAATAACTTTAAAACAAATAAAACAATTAATTGAAGAATAATTAGATAAACAATAAAAAAAAAATTATAATCTTTATTTGTACCGCACTTTCCAGCTCAAGAGCACAAAGTGCTACAACAATAAAAGCATAGTAATACATTATCAGTTTAGAACATTCATAAACAGACAGAAGCCAAATAGATATCCAACGTCTGATATAGGCCAACTCCCACCCAGCCGGCTCTCCCACCGGGGGCTTACCCGTGGTGGCCCAGAGGACCAATACACACACTAACATATTAAAACTAGTTAAGAAATAAATTATTAAAGGTGACGAAAATCTGTGAACACGCTAGACATTAAAAGCTAGTTTGAAAAGATGCGTTTTTAACGCTGACTTAAACGCTGCCGCCTCAGTTATCAAGCGTATATCTAAAGGCAGGGAATTCCACAGCCTAGGGCCATGCACGGCAAAGGCACGACCTCCCCATTTTTTGTAGTGTGCAGGGGGAACGACAAGAGCAAGGTGACCCGATGATCGCAGGGTTCTGCGAGGGACATATCTAGCCAAGAGGTCGGACAGGTACGGAGGGGCAAGGCCGTGCATGGCTTTAAAAACATAAAGCAAAACCTTAAAATCTACTCTCCATTTAATGGGCAGCCAGTGAAGAGACAGCAGAACCGGAGTGATATGGGCATGCCGACGAGTGTTTGTCAGCAGACGGGCAGCCGCGTTCTGAACAAGCTGGAGCCTGGAGAGTGATGACTGGGATAACCCGGAGTACAGGGCATTACAATAGTCAAGCCGGGAAGTCACAAACGCATGAATGGCTTTCTCTAAGTCACTATGAGAGAGAAATGGCTTTACCTTTGCTAGCAGTCTTAGCTGGCAGAAGCTGGATTTAACCACTGACTTGATCTGCTTATCAAAGTTGAAATTGACGTCAAAAATTACCCCCAGATTGGAAAAAGGAAAAAAGGACAGGAAATGAAGAAAAACATGTAATAAGAGGTAATAAATGCATGAATTTCCCCCTCAAAGTCATTGAATGAAAGGAAATGCTTAACCTTGGCTAATAAATGCAGTTAGAAAAAGCAACTGTTTTTCCACAAAGGTTATGGATTATGCTCGTACATAATGTGGGCAGACATACAGTACTAGTGATAAATCACGCAGACATACATGTGGTATGGTTTTAATATTCACAAGCTTGAGATAAAAAAAACACTGTGCTCAGCTGAAGACAAAAAAGGGGGGAGGTGGGTGTGTATAACCAAAGCAAGACTCCAAAGCAGAAAAGCACTTCACACGGAAGAAGATATTGTCAAACTGTCTGCATTTTTTCACCCTGTGCTGATAAGTGTCAGTAAAAGAAACATCTAATTAATGTGGGTGTTCTTCAGTTTTTAATATCCATCCTTCCTCACTTCTGTTACCCTGTGTGCTAGGTGACGGCTCTGAGGAGGCAAGTCAGGCCCACCTCAGGCAAGGTCATCAGGAAAGTCACTCTCCCAGAGCCAGTCCAGGACTCCCCCAACAGACCGCCCTCTGGGCGCATGTACTCCTCCGGCAATGCCGCGCCAAACGGAACTCGGTGAGTCTGTGTGGGTTTGGGTCCATATTAATATCTCCAGCCTGGGAGAAATAAGAAAGGCTAGTAAATAACAGCAAAAATGGCCATGGTTTTCATTTAATACTACAGGTGGAAGTGTTCTTAGTTAGACACTTAACTCCAGTACCACCATAAGATAACCAGTTCAGAATCAGCTTTATTGACCAGGTGTGTTGGACATGAGGAATTTGACTCTGGTACAGCAGCTCTCAGTGCGTGTGTACATATCCTTATGTAAGGCAATAGCAAACGGCAAGTAAACACTATACCAATATAAGGCTGTGTAGTATAACACATTTAAACAGTATAAACAATGCAAATGGACAAGGAATGTTCATTAGGAAATGAGAAGAGTAAAAATAGAGTACTCAAAAAATAGAGACCTGTACCAATCTGTATATCTGTACAATGTATATTTACATGTACTGCACTGAGGGTTATTGTCCAGTCATACTGTCATGGGTTAAGTGTTAATCAGAGTGACGGCTCGGGGGAAGAAATCGTTCTTGTGTCTGATTGTCTTGGTGCACAGTGACCTGTAACGCCGTCCAGAGGGGAAGAGTTCAAACAGATTGTATCCCGGGTGTGAGGGGTCTGCAGTGATCTTCAAATCAGTTCTAGGACATGTTTACGAGCTCATTCACATCATCCCTGTCTTTGAAAGTGCTACATCTTTCAATGAATTAACACTGCTGACTGATATCATATGTGCAGTTCTTCCTACAGACGTACAGCAGGTATTTACTCCACCAGAGTCGCTCGCAACAAATGGCAGTCTCTGGAGCGACGGATCTCTGATGTCATCATGCAGAGGATGACCATCTCCAACATGGAGACCGACATGAACCGCCTGCTCAAGGTAAAGTCCTGCAGCAGCACACAGTTGTATGGAAGGTTAGGGTTGTCATCAAATGCAGACGAGCAGGATAAAATCTAAAAGGGGGAAGAGTTGTATTTATTCTACTTTATTAATCCCTGTGGGGATATCTCTGTCAATTGCTGCCTGACCACTAGGGGCAACTAGGGGTTCAGTGTCTTGCCCAAGGACACTTTGACATGTGGACTTGGGAGACCAGGAATCAAACCACCAACCTTCCAACTGACAACCATGCTGCTTCCTGAGCCACAACATCCTCTGTAAAGTTAACATCACCTGCTATCCTCAGTATTGAGGATAGCAGGAACAGTTGTTCTGGGCTGCCACCTAATAGTCAAATAGTTGAGAGACCTGTCAGTCGACTGACACTCTTCTAGTCAAGCCATTTTTGTCTATAATATTTGATTTTTTTTGTCAGCCAGTGTGCATTACAATAGAAGCCCCCTCACCTGCCTCTGGGTTTGTCTTCTTACCTTGGAGGAGGCTGTAATGCCGGTGCTGTACCATGTTGCTGTTGTAGAATTCATTGTGCTTAGTGGGCTGAAAAAAGGGAAACGTGGTATAACTTTGGGATGAGTTCATCTTTCTCCTCTCTGTCTGTACTGCTATAAGAAATGACTCCATGAAAAAAAAAGTGCTTTACGTTTTCTAACATCAGTGTGGATGCCCTGAGCATAACAGTGTCCTGTCCTATTGTGTGTGTGTGTGTTTATAGCAACGAGAGGAGCTGACCAAGCGTAAGGAGAAGGTCCTCAGGAAGAGGGACCGGCTGCTAAGAGAAGGGCCAGACACAGAGAAGGCGGTGCTCCCTCTCAGCGAAGAAGTGGATGCATTGACTGCCAACATTGACTACATCAATGACAGCATTGCAGACTGTCAAGCCAACATCATGCAGATGGAGGAAACCAAGGTAAGAAAGCCTGAGTTGGGAGGTGATAACATAAAAGGTAAATATTAAAAATGTACTGGCTGCTCAAACGGCTCACGTGGAATTTCCTGTTACCCAGACCTTTGTGTGATGTGAGAGAATTTTTTCATACCATCTTTAAGTGACAAAAACAAATTTATTATCATTTGTGCTTTTTTGCCCTCAGGAGGAAGGTGACACTGTGGACGTCTCTGCTGTGATTGGCTCCTGTACTCTGGCAGAGGCTCGTTTCCTGCTCCATCACTTCATGTCAATGACCATAAATAAGGTACCAATGTACTTTATATTTCACTTGTATTGTGTGGCATTCATGTGGACGGCAAAGTAAGAATTTCATTGTACAGGGAAACACGTGTCCTAACTGTGCATATGACAAATAAACACTTTGACCTTTGAATGCTAATAATGACCTGGACAAATCACTACACATCACTACAGACTGTGCATATGGCAGCTTTGAATGCTAATAATGACCTGGACAACACACGCATGACATGACAACACACTGTAAATAAGAGTGACAAAAAGTGATTCTTCAGCAGATAGCAACACATCTCACTGACTGATTTTTCTGCTTTCCTTTATTTTGCCATTGTATTAATGTTAAGCAGAAGAAGGATAGATGCTCTTTGTGTTTCTGTAATTTTTGTCATTTCACAATCGCAATGAAAGATAGAAAAGGCAAACTGAAGTCGTTAAGTTTGATATGTAACCATGTATCATCTTGAAAACTTCCAAATCTAGCTAAGAACTGTCAAGTGCAGACGAGATGTGGGTGTGAATTTGACTACAAATACCGTCTGTGCTCTGACCTCCTCAGGGTCTGCAGGCAGCCCAGAGTGAGTCGCAGGTGAAGGTGATGGAGGGCAGACTGAAGCAGACGGAGATCACCAGCGCCACACAGAACCAGCTGCTCTTTCACATGCTGAAAGAGAAGGCGGAATTCAACCCGGAGCTAGACGCCCTGCTGGGGAATGCTCTGCAAGGTAACAGCTGTCTTTGGTTGGGTAAAGTTAGAAGTGGAGATGAGGACCCAAAACACAGACCTAGTTGAACCTGGCCCACCTTCTGGAAGCATCAGTGGTATCATATCAAGTCAAATGAGGATTCAGGTTTTATTCTGGGAGGATAATGGTATTTCTTTTCCATTAATGTTCTTTGTCTTTAAATGTGTCTTGACTTGTGTCACAGAGCATTTGGCCTTTAGAAAGTGGGCTGGGTTACTGGTCAGTTGCATGATTGGGCCTATTGAGATGCTCTTGCTTGTCGCCTTCTGCTCAATAAAAGCTGGACTAATTTCTATGCAAAAATCTCTAATTCCACGGTTATTATGTGGAAAGATCACATTTGACCAAATTTTTCAAAGCACAGATTTTTAAAAAATGTGTAAATTCATACAACGCTTTTATCATCATCAAAACTTTTTATGTCCCCTGTGTTTTTGCCAGCCTCTGTTTAGCAGGATGCTCTATTCATTTTCTTTTGTTTTGTTTCTTTTAGAATTTTGGGGGACTGTGTTTTGATTTGTGCATTGCCTTTTTTCTGTTCCCCCATGTTTTCTTTTTTCTTTTTTTGTTTTCCTGTGTTTTTACAGAGCTAGGTAACATCCCAACTGGTAAGTGAAACCGTATTGGACTCTTATCTGTGCTATGAATGCATGGTTCCTTCCCTTTGCATTCTGAAAACTAACTAAACATAACATGAACAGGTGCATGAGGTGCAGTGCAACCAGGCTTCCCCCCCATCTGTCTGCAGACCTCTTCCTCCCCCCTCTCCTCCCAGCTCACCACGTGCTATAGGCTCCATGCTTTAGTACTCTGCTAACCCCAGAGCTTCCCCAGGAGCTGTACAACATGGATACTTTAGCTCTGCTGGACCTTGGCCACACCAGGAGCAATGGACTAATGATCCCTCACATGCCTCCTCCTCCTCTTGTTGTCTCATGCTGGGTTTTTTACCTTCACCCCCACCCCCACCTGATTGCTCTCTGACCTCTCACCTTTTGTGACCCATCTGATCTCGCTAGCCTCAGTGAGGATACAACAGCATGGCGCTGTGCTGACGTCGCCCTCATCGGCTCCCCTTGTTCATCTTATCAACATCCATTTTGAATGGTTACCTAATAAAAACAAGAAAATTACATCACCCTTTTAGTGAACCTGAGTAAACGATTTAATTGTTTAGTCTTAGGCAAAGTGTAATTGCTAAGTCTTAAGTAGTCTCCTCAGTCTTGTCAGCCAAAAGGCTTTTCTTATAACAAATTTTTTTTATTTATTGATCTCATTTGACAGAAAATGGTGACGACAGCAGCAGTGATGAATCTGCCCAGAGCCCTTCAGCAGAGGGGAAGTGAGTTATATTTCTCCACAGGTCCACACAGCAGAACGATAAGTTCGTTTGAATTAGATGCAAATAAAATCTATGGCAATAAAATCTATCTAATCTAATATATCTGCTTTTCTCTGTGATGAAGCAACATGTCTGAGCTAGGAAATAAATGCAGTAATAATTTGGTAGAGAAACATTATAGAGACAATTTACACCAACTGGGTCACAGTTAACACACATTAAGTTGATTTTGAGTTTAATGGGCCTTCAGTGCTTTTCAATGAAATCAGACTACTTGTTAGGTGTTGGGTAATGTGTCATCTTATGTGTTGTTATATGTGTGTTTCTACTAAAAGCTACATGGTCAGTACTCACCTATAAAACTTATGTACTTCCTCTAGCACGTTGGCATCAGATCTTATGAAACTCTGTGGTGAGACCAAAACAAGAAATAAGGTACAGCAGTGTTGGCATTTGCACCCCGTTCGCTGCACTTTACTGTCTACTCCTTCGCTTCCTGGTATAATTTTCACCTGTCTGTGCCCTACAGGCTCGTAGAAGGACCACCACTCAGATGGAGTTGCTGTACGCAAACAGTGACTCGGCACCTGACGCATCCACAGCAGATTTCACCAGTCCGATGCTGCCGTTAGCTGAAACTCCAGATGGGGGAGGAGACGTGGACCCTTCAGGCTCGTCAGTCAGGGACTTCACAGCTCTCTCCCCTGGCTTTTCCTCTAAAATGGGCAGCATGTAAGTCCAGGCCCAGCCCTCTTTCCTAACAAATGAATTGCTGCATCCTCCCTTACTGCATGTTGTTGATGTTGCTGCTGCTTGCTCTGCTTTGTTGAATTTTATTTCACATTATTCATGAGCCTCTAGCTGATGAGTGCTTTGAGGGAAAAGCATATAGAGAGGTACAAATATGAACATTTGTGTGGCTCGATTATTCCTGTCTTCTGCATAACCAACCTTTCTAATTCCTTATTACAACTGAGTGACACGCTGAAAGCAAAAATATTAACCACAATGCATTAACTGGCTTGTGAAAGGCCATGCTTCAAAATTAAGTGCACATTGACTTGTATGTAAAAAGAGGCTTGGCAGACAGTAATGCATCAGCAAATCAAGCGATAAAATATATTTTAGTGATGCACAAAAGCTACACAGTGTCCATTGTATTGAAACACGAGCTTGGTGAAGAACCACCACAGTTTTGGGACTTTGAATATCAGGTAACCATGTTCCTGTGTGTGCTGCATGCTCATCTCATTCCATTATTTCACTTTGGTTTTACATCCTTCTGTTGTTGTATGATTTTTTTTTTTGCTACTGTCTTTGTGTTTTTTGTGGATAAATGTGAAACTGAACGCTCAGTTCTGGCTCCAGAACATCGTCAGGGGTGGATAAGCGAGCTCCAGAGCCTTCCCCGCTCTCTCGCAGGAAGACATATGACAAGGCACAAGCAGCATCCGACAGAGCAAAGGTCAAGGAGATTAAACAGTAAGATATTGCTGCCGACATTGTGCCCGCAAAGCCGAAAAAAAGCAAAATAACTTGACATCAACTCTACTAATAAATCCTGCTTTTTGTTTCCTGCTTTGGAGAAGCATGTGGTCTCAACTAAATCAGCAAAGCTCTGCATCTGCTATGATAACCTCTGACCTGCCAAGCTCTATGCTGAACTTAAAGCCACGTGTTCCTGCTTAACTTGGATATTGTCTCTTCTTTGAGTCATAATGGTAATAATAGTTCTTTTTTCATTCTTGGTAGTTTTAGCTCAGAGTGTTCAGCTTGCTAATCAGCCCTAATGCCACTGATCTACTCATGATAAATGTCCTGGATCACTGTCTTTTCTCTTTCTTTGTCTTAAGAGTAAATTCTTGAGTGAGACAGAAATGGAAGATTATGCTGAATCAGTGGTTGTTCTAACACTGAACAGGGGAGCAACCTGCACTTACCTGGTGAAACCGTTTCTGCTCTCATTCATTGTGTCCCACGATGGGTCTGTTGCCTTGTCCCATGACTAATACTGTGAATAGTCAGCTCTTTGCCAGCTTAACACAATGCTCATCTTACAGCCACACACTGTTCTTCAACACAGTGTGTGAGCGCACGTGGTCAGCATGACTCTAAGTATTGCTGTGTTCATGTCATACGGCAAAGCCGGTAGATGCCACTTTCTTAACTGAAGAAACTGAGTCTCCTATGTCTCCAGTGGTCAGTGCTCCTTCAGCGTCTGACCTCAGAAGTCTCCATCACAGTGTAGAGTCACTTGTTCATTTGCATACAACAAACCAAACAATTCTTCTTTTATTACCTTACATTTTACGATTGCACAGAGAGTAGAATGTCGTTACTTTCTTACGCCTCTGTACCTGCGATAGTTGTGACATTATGCTTTTGGGTTTGTCCGTACTGTACGTGTGCTCCGTTCTCATCAACACAATCTCACCTTCAACGGCGGCAGTAAAAGTTCGGTAAAGAAACAGCAGTTTGCAGCAACTGCTGATGTTTCTATGAGCTGATGACAAGACAACATACAGAACGTAATTAAAACATTAATCTACAAATTTCCCCACTGATAAACCAGGGAAACCACACTGAGCAGGACATCTCAGTAATATCCTCTTTATGGCTTCAGATGAATTGGAGCATATGAACACTTTCCTGACAGTTGCTTCTTTATGATGTGAATGCAGCACATGTGTATTCGCTGTGTCTTCGTGCAGTCCTCCCACGCTTCTGCCAGCAGTGTTTAAACAGCTTAGCACACACATTAGTTATGCTGCCGCTTAATTGGCAGTCCTGCTTTCTTCCTCCACAGCCCAGTCATCAGGACCCTGAAGAGCAGCCAGCCACTTCCTCCCTCTCCTGCTGCTCGCACCACTAACCACATCGCTGCGTTTAGCCATATGACATGATATCTGTGGCATACTGCAAACAGCCTGCAGGATAAGTAAGAACCAGAGATAAGTAAAATTGACACCAGGCTGTCAGAGAGTCAGATTAGAGTAGGGGAAAGATGCTAAGGATGAGCAGCATCATTACACTCCAAAATCTGTCTGTTATTAGGTATTTTCATGTAGATAAGAGGCTGTAGAAGCACAAACAGATTTTGATTTTGGAGTGTAAGGTGCCGTGGTGTGCATATCTGTCATTTCTGTCATCCTAAGTGCACATTGTGTCAGTTCCTTTACTAATCATGACTTTCCAAAGCATGCCATGGCTTAGAAGACTGACTTTCCACCTTCCATGTTGTCATTATGTTCCATTCAGTTCCATTGTATTGAAAATATCAATGTAAAGTTGTTGTTTTTTTTTAATAACAAGAACCGGCTCTCTCTAAATGTGTTGTACCAAGTGCAGAATAATTTAAGTATGATTAAAAATTCAAAATGTTGTTAGGAATTAATGGTTTAATAGTGTTGGTGTTTAATCAGCTCTCAGGAATGTCGGATGCTCTCTCCCGCCAGGATGGACGGATGCCTCCGCCTGTCCTCTAACCATGTCCTCTTCTCCACCCCTCCTCCTTCCTCTGATCCACCCAAGTATTGTTTTTTTATTTGTCTCATGTTTCACTAAAATGTTACCACTGGTGTACAGGGCAGAGGTGAATCTGAAACACATCCACACATGGTGTGGTTCCCATCCTTTTCTCATCAGGACCTACACTGTGTGCACTGATAAGTCTCAGCTTTCAGCGCGACTGTAAGGTGGAAAAGCAGTTCATCAGATCAGCCTGTAACTGGAGTCTCTGCAAGGACCAGATGTGGCTGGGTCGCATCTAAAACTAAAACTGTTATCAGATGCCGGTGTGTCAACATGACCGGCTCGTTAGTGATTGATTCTGGTTTCTGTGACGCTATCGAACATGCGGCCCCTGATGATCTGTCTCTGCCGATTTCCAGTCTTTGTCTCCTTGGGTGTGTTTATCTATTACAGGCTGGAAAAGAGAAGCATCATAAGGTACATAGTTGTCTTTGGATTCTTGGCTTTTCTGTTCTGCAGCACAATAAGGGTGATTCTGTCCACAGCTCTCTTGTTATGTTCCATCTCTTTCTGTGTTTGATTTGCAGCATTGTGCTCATCAGCCACGGGAGCTGCACACTATGCATGACTTTGGTTGCATGGGTGTGATCTATATCTGTGCTGCACTCAGATTGGTGGACAAGGTAATGTCCAAACAAACTACACCTGTTGATAATGATGCGTGTGCGTTTTCCAGGGGTGTCATTAACCCAGTGCCGTCCACTAAAAGCAGCCGGTCAGCAACATTACAGTGTGTCCACGTGGCAGAGGGACACAGTAAAGCTGTTCTCTGTGTTGAGTGCACCGATGACCTTCTCTTCACTGGATCAAAAGGTTAATACCCACAATCCTTCCTTCCGTCGCTCCTTCACCTCACTCCTTCTCTTCTTCTGTCTCTCATCAGTATTCCTGCATGTGTCCTTGTTGCAGTGCTGGTAATTTGTTACACTTTGACATGATGCTGTGCTGTTCTTTAACAGCCAATAAGACCTGACGGGGATTAATTAGAATTGCCATAAGAATAGTATGTGGATAAATGAGTTGATGAAAATAAAATGTCATTGTACATGCAGTGAAAACTTTAATGGCGAAGGAGCTTGTAGACAATAAATTGAGGTAAATACACAGCTCAAAACAATTAAGAGAACACTAAATCTCACACAGGATCTTTCTCATTGAGAAATGGTTTTGTGTTCTACTCATCCTTGACTTTGAGCTGCACTGCGTCACTCCAACATGCTCCCTACATTTGTAATAAATGTATGACTAAGGAGATGACAGATGGTGTGTCGTCCTGCAGACCGGACCTGTAAGGTGTGGAACCTGGTGACTGGTCAGGAGATAATGTCCCTGGCTGGTCACCCCAACAATGTGGTGTCAGTCCGCTACAGCTCCAGCGTGGTCTTCACCGTGTCCACCTCGTACATCAAAGTCTGGGACATCCGGGAATCTGCCAAGTGTATCCGCACACTAACGTGAGTGGGACTGTCTGTAGATTTTAGCCTTTAAGGCCTTTTTTCTTATTGTGTTTTGCTGATCAAAGCACTTCTCTGATGTATGTCCTGAGTGCACACAAATAAATCTAAATCTGATAATGCTTCTACAGGTCCTCCGGTCAGGTTAGTGTCGGGGACGCCTGTGCGTCTACCACCAGCCGGACGGTCACCATCCCAGCAGGAGAGAATCAGATCAACCAGATTGCTCTCAACCCCAATGGGACAGTTCTGTATGCTGCTGCTGGAAACTCAGTCAGAGTCTGGGATCTGAGGAGGTGAGCAGAGGGGCTACATTTTCATAAATATCCAGAGATGCTTCAGACGAAACTCTATATGGGACATTTTGGGCTCTTGACAGATAACCTTGTGTTGTGTTGTGTTGTGTTGTGTTTTAGTGACAGCAGTGTGAGTCGCTCTGGTCCAACACTTTGAGCTATAGTAAAACAGCTGTTGGAGGGATTGTCATTAAGTTTAGTACAAGCAGTTTTTATCCCAAAGGATGATTTTTAATGTATTTGGTGGTTTTACCTGTAGCACCACTGACATGTCAAATGTTCTGTTTCTCTCATGCATTGTCACGAACGTCGGCCTTTCCCCTCAAATTTACAGGCCGGGATTTAACTTATTGAATCAAGACTGTTTATTAACTTTGTGTCCCTGTCAGATTTGCATCCACTGGGAAACTCACTGGTCACCTTGGTCCAGTCATGTGTCTGACTGTGGATAAGTCTGGAAGCAACCAAGATCTTGTGATCACTGGATCCAAAGATCATTACATCAAGGTGTGTTTCAGGTGACCTCTTTGTGATCTGTATGTACCACAGCTCATGTTCTGGGACCAGCAGAATGTTCCCTGTCTAGAGAAGCCAAAGATTAGCTGGATGATATATGGGTTAATTCAGGCATTCAGGAATACAGTATAGTGGAAGGTACATAAGCCCCATAATGCAAGATGAACCTATGGTAGCATGATTGGCTTGAGTATAACAGAACTAATATTGTAGCCGAGTATGAAAATGTGTTGAAAGTGCTTTATTGGATTTTTTATTATGAAGTGTGTCCGTTTGCAGTTTCAGAAAGGCTCACTCACTCACTCACTCACTCTCTCTCTCACACACACACACACACACACACACACACACACACACACACACACACAACGCAGTAAAGTCCTAGTAGCATTTACACTAATCGTGTGTAGCATGTGGATACCTGAATTTCCCTCGGGATCAATAAAGCCTTTATCTATATATGTATCAGATAAAACCTCTTGACTTAGTATGAAAAAACACGTGAACTATGTTTTTTTTTTTTTTTTAATTCTCACATCTACATTATCATTTATGAGCGTCACTACAGGACACATTTTAACGTGTTGTTGTGGCTGCTGCAGCTGTTTGATGTGAGTGAAGGCTCTCTGGGAAGCATCAGCCCTACACACAACTTCGAACCGCCACATTACGACGGTATCGAATCACTGGTGGTGCAGGGGGACATTTTCTTCAGCGGGTCCCGAGACAACGGCATCAAGAAGTGGGATTTGGACCGTAAAGACCTGCTGCAGGTAATGAATGAGGGGGATGATGCATATGGACACATGGATCTATTACAAAGATGGATAGAAGAGACTGACAAGTGGGGATGCAATGAAGTATTTAGGTGTCTGATGCGGAGTTGGGGATTCATGTTTCAGTATGTCAAGGCAAAGCAGGCTTATTTTATATACATAAAGGCAACTCATAAAAGAAACACAAGGACTAAAGGTAAAAAATTAATGGCGTAAAAGTATTTGCCACTAAAATGTAGTGAAGTATGAAGTAGCACAAAATCAAAGTGCTCAAGTAAAGTACATATACTTCAAAATTGCACTTGAGTTAATGTACTTAGTTACTCTCCAGCACCATGTGCTGCCCAGTTGTTCTCCTCTGCTATATTCATGAAGTGAAGTATGATTTCATTCAGCGCTGGCTCTGCCGTGAGAATACCAGTGTCCTTGTGGCTTTGGGTGATTAACATTTTCAGACCCACACTGGTCAAATCATTTTCATAAGCCTTCACCCCTTCTCTCCAACAGCAAGTCCCTAACGCCCACCGTGACTGGGTTTGTGCTTTGGGTGTCGTCCCTGGGTCCCCAGCCCTGCTGAGTGGCTGCAGAGGTGGGGTGCTCAAGCTGTGGCACACGGACACACTGGGGACCCTGGGGGAGTTGAAGGGTCACGAGAGCCCCATTAACAGCATCTGTACCAACAGCAGCCACCTGTTCACGGCCTCAGAGTGAGTCTTAAACACACAACTACTACACACCCTCTGTGTTCTGAGGTCTGTGCTTTTTATTATGACTCTTCTATTTATTCATGGACTTGTCTCTGGCTGCTCAGGTCATATGTTCCTGGTAGCTCTAAGTCCTAAATGAGGAGAAATGTCTGGAAGAAAACGTGTTCCTGTTCCTCTCTTCTAGTGACCGCACTGTGAAGATCTGGCGTGCACGTGGTGGGCTGGACAGCTTGGAGGTGGTTGACAATGCAGACGAGGTTGCAAGTAACTGAACGCAGCGCCCCCTGCTGGGTTTGGGTCTAGAAGGACACTAACAGCATCTTTTGATGCTGCTTCCCTGCACTTTGAACCCTAACTTCAGAAACCTGTTGCTGACACTCGCCTTCCATGTCATGTCATCTGTAAGACTGAGCCACAAGGAAACACTGAAGAGAAACTAACAAACACAATACTTGTTTTCTTAGACTCTGTAGGCTCAGACATGTCTGCTAAACACATTTACTTCACCATAATCTCTTTGCAGTAGAAACTCATCTTTTTCTCTTTTGCGCTGTGCACGATTCCACACTGTGGATCATGAGAAGTTCTCTTACTCATGATGTGTTTAAGAGTTGACACACACAAAATATATCTGCATACATTCAGTGCTGTGCCAGAATACAACACATCTGCAAACACCCAGGGCAAAAGGATAGAAGTGTTTTTTTTTTGTTTGTTAGTTAGATTAGGGTAAAATAGACACGAAGTTA